AGGCAGTCATCCCAGGTGATGCATCTCCCAATGATGACCTGAAACAATTTTAAGAGCTTTTTAAGAAGGTTGCCACAAGTCAAGATCACCCTATTCTAGGTGCAAGAAAAAGCAACACACGCTCTTAAAAAAAAAAAAAAATCTACAGTCATCCACAAAAACAGAAATTGTACTTCCAATTGATGAAGCTATCATGGAGGCAGTGGATGAGGTTTGTCCGGCACAAGCCTCAGCTCCACTACCAATAAACATGCTGATAGAAAATATTTTGTACCCTTAAAGGGCATGAACTTTTTATTCCTCCTCCCACTACCAAATTCTCTAGCCGTCAATGCTGCAAATCAGAGATCCAAGAACCCACAGTATAAGTCATCCAACCACAACAAGCACTTGCATTTATTTGGCAGAAAAATGTATTCATCATCTACATTTACATACTCAGATAGCAAATGTCACCACGCTATTTGCCAGTAATGACTTTGATAATTATGTCAAACTGACAGAGCTAATGCAGCATCTCCCTGGCGATAAGAGATCTTTCCTGATGTCCATAGTCCAGGAAGGGTACACTACATCTAGTACTGCATTGCAGATGGCACTGGACATAGCTGATACAGCAGCAAGAGTAACAGCCACATCAGTAATCATGAGATGCACCTTCTAGTTACAGGCAGCAGGTGTTCCCAAGGAGTTGCAAACCAAAGTTGAAGACTTAACCATTCAACAAAAAAAACTTTTTGCAGCAAGGACTGATGAAGTCCTTCACTCTAGTAAGGATTCCTACCCTATATTACATACTCTAGGAATTTACACACCACCGTATCATTCGAGACTAAAGGCAGAGAGACTTCTCGTATGCCAGACAACAGCAGAGAACCTGCGAACAAAATAGTTCCAGAGCAAGAAACCAGCATCAATGATCCCCTCGTCCAACCAGCAGGCCTCCAGCAGCAGGTTTGAGGTTTTGGTAGAGAGTTTGAATGACCTCTCCATTCCACCAGTGCCTCATGATCCAATGGGCAGCAATAACTACAGACTGTTGGGTCCTAGACAGCGTCAAATACAGATACTCAGTTCCCTTTATATCAGTTCCCCCAACCTCCCCAATCCTCTTCAAGGACCCCTCTCATGAATGACTTCTACATCAAGAGGAGGATCATCTTCTATACATAGGTGCCATAGAGAGGGTGCCCGAGCAATACTGGGACGGGGGATTTTACTCAAATTATTTTTTCATGGAGAAGAGAACTCCAGTAGGCATCTCAGGTGCAGTCTTGCGTGCTGCACCACGTAAGTGTTTGCTGCCATGTGTCCTAATAGCCTTAGACAAGATAGTATGTTGATTCTTGGACTTATCAAGATAGTGTGGATAAGATCTTGAATCTTCTGGAATCTCATCCTTGGAAGGTAGGCCCTTGCTGTGTTAGACTCTAACAGTGCCCCAATGAACTCTAGGAAAGTTCGAGGTGTTAGAGAGGACTTCTGGATATTGACGACTAGACCTAGTGCAGTAAATAGGTTTTCTGTAATGTGGGTCGCCCACAGGGCTTGGTCGTATGTGGGTGCTTTAAGCAAACAGTTGTCCAGATATGGAAATATCATTATGCCTTGTCGATGGAGGTAGGCTGAGACTATGGAGAGGGTCTTCGAGAAAACCCTCGGAGTGGACGACAGGCCAAAGGGGAGGACTTTGTATTGAAAACGTTGGTCATCTATCGCGAATCTGAGGAAGCGTCTGTGTGCAGGATGAATTGTGATGTGAAAATATGCATCCTGCAAATTGAGGGACGTAAACCAATCTCCTGGGTTCAATACTGGAATTATAGCAGCTAGCGTCTCCATCTTGAATGTTTGTTTTCTGAGGTACCTGTTGAGATGTCGTAGATCTAAAACGGGTCTCCACCCTCTTGATTTTTTCTCCATAAGAAAATAACGGGAATAAAAACCTCTGCCATGGAAGTGATCCGGCACTCTCTCTACTGCTCCTACAATGAGGAGTCAAAGGGCTTCCTCCATAAGAAGAGTCTTGTGAGAGGGGTCCCTGAAAAGGGATGGGGGAGGGGAAGAGGTGGGTGGTAATGATAGAAGAGGTATGGTGTAACCGGGCATTACTATCTCCCAGACCCAGTGGTCGGTGGTGATGGCAAACCACCTTTTGTGGAAGGGTCGGAGCCGATGGTGGAATAGCTGCTGAGCTGTTGGTTGATATGACAGGGGAATGGTTTGAAGTCCCTCAATTAGACCGTCAAACCTGCTGCTTGTTTTATTGGTTGAATGTCCTCTTTGACTGTGGACGACATCTTTGTTGCCGAGGTCTGCCCCTTTGTTGGGGCTTGTACTGTCTAAACCTCGGATTGGTATACTGAGTTGTCTGTAGTATGGCGTATACCGCTTTCGGTGATATGGTGGTGTGTACATGCCGAGCGTCTTTAACATTGTTCTTGAGTCCTTTCCAGAATGTAGCACCTGCTCGGTGTTGGACGCAAAAAGGCTCTGCATGTCGAATGGTAGGTCCTCCACCTTTGTTTGAAGGACCTTGGGCACAGAAGCCATCTGGAGCTGTGAGGACCTACGCATAGCTACTGATGTGGTGGTAGTACGGGCTGCTGCATCTGCGATATCTAGGGAAATCTGCAGTGCTGTTCTTGAAGCGGTATATCCCTCCTGTACTACCGATTTTAAAAGTTGACACTTGTTTTCTGGTAGATGTTCTAGTAGAGTGGTGAGTTTGGTATAATTATCAAAATTGTGATTGGAAAGGTGTGCTGAGTAATTTGCCATCCGCAGGGTCAACGTTGCGGAGGAGTACACCTTCCTTCCAAAAAGGTCCAAGTGTTTTGCCTCTTTGTCTGGCGTCTTTGATCTTTGTTGTGCCACATCCACTACGAGGGAATTAGGCTGGGGATGTGTGTATAAGAATTCCATCCCTTTAGAGGGGACGAAGTACTTTTTATCAGACCTTTTGTGCGTACCTTGCATGGATGTTGGATTTTACTAGATATCATCTGCGATTTCTAGTATTGCTTCATCCAGTGGTAATGCTAGTTTGGTTTTCTTAGAGGGTTGAAGGTTCCTTAAAAGGTTATGTTGTTTTTGTTGTACTTCCCCTATTTGTATTTGCTGGGATTCTGCAATCCTCTTGAACTGATTGTTGAACTGTTTTACATCATCCACTGGAGAAGAATCCCCGGAGAAAACCACATCATCTGGTGATGAGGAGGATTGGTCAGCTGGGGATTGTGATTGTGCCTCTGGCTGATCTGTGATGGGTTATGGTTGTACCGGTTGGTGAGGTGTAGGCAGTGAATCTCCCGAGGGGGTAAGGGGTCTGATGGATGTTTGTGGAAACAGGATTCTGGTGGTGCTAGTTGAATGCCTTGGATGGTAATATGGAGAGGGAGAACGACTATATGAGTATCTGGGAGAGCAATAGTGTCTGCATCGATGATATCTGTCATATCCATGGTGTGAAGAAGAAGTGTAGTATGGTGAATTCCTGTGAGAGGAATGTCTATATCCCCTGTGAGGGGATCTTGTCGGTGATCTTGGAGATCGAGATCTCCGCCTCTGGTAAGAAGGTGAGTGTCGCTGGCCATGGAATCGCTGTGGAGACAGCAAGAAACGTGGGGAGGTCCCACTAGTGTGTAGCCGATGGGTCTCTTTGTTCCATGTGCACTGAAGGTAGCAACTGCACTGCAGAAAGCTGTGGAGAAAATGCTGCCGGTTCTGGGCTAGGAGATGGAGTTGTTATTCTCCTGGATTTGTGAGTTGCCTTGTGGCTGGAGGTTGGTGCCAGCTGCGATGGAGCGTAGAACGGCACCTGTGTTGTGGAAGACACTGGAGAAGACGGTGCCACTGTTGTCGGCACCGGCGTGATCGGTGCTGATGACTCTGGTGCGATCAGTGCCGGCGGGTGCGGTATCAGTGCCGCATGACTATCCGACGCTGCCATTGGTGCCATCAGGGTATTTCACGGAGAGCTGACCGTGGAGCCCAAAGATAGTGATGGGTTAAGGCAACGAGATAAAGATGTCGATCTCAGTGCCAGGCATGGCGCCAGTTCCGTGTCGCTCGGTGCCGGTCTTGCTGTTGGTGCCGATTTTGTTGGCGCTGCCTGTTTTTGTTTAATTGGCGCCAGTACTGAATTGGCCCTAGGCAGTGCTGGAAGCATCTGGGCTGCTTCCCTGCGCATGACTGGACTCAGCTCCGAAACCATGCTTCCTGTCCTGTGCCTGTGGGCCTGGCTGCCCGAGGCTAAGTCAGATATGCCCGTTCTGTCTGCTGCACTGATCTTGTAAGGAGCCTTACCTGCGGTCATGGGGTTCGTGGCAGAGTCTTCTTCGGCTGGTTGGAGTGCCTTGTTGAATAATAACATCTTCAGGCGCATCTCATGGTTCCTCCTTGCACAGGCCGTGAGCTTGGAGGCAATGAGGGCATTTTTGTGGAATGTGACCCTCTCCAAGGCACTTAATACAGCTCGCATGGCCGTCCGATGCTGGAATGTTTAAAACCAGGAGACCCCCGCATTTTGAATTCTTTTTTTTTTAAACTATGTACAACTAGTGTAACAGAGAACTATGTATAACTAACTTAACTAATTAACTGGGTTTTTTTGGGTTTTTTTTGAAGGTAACGAAGTAATAAATGTAACTAGAGTAATTAAGAACAAAATGAAGATCAAAATTAGGAAATGTGGATTTTTTTCAGTCAGAAAAGCAAGAGAAGCAGTTCACTCCACTTGCGACCGTGAATGGTTAGGAGGAACTGGCAGGAGCAGGACCGCGCGCACATCCTCAGAAACAGTGCGAAGGGCACGTGCTGCCGCTGCACATGCGCAGTCCAGCTGAACCACGGCTAATTAATCTCCGACCTGCAGCGCTGGGACGAGCCCGACACTGAGTGGAGCACCCACGAGGACACTACCCAAAGAAGAAGATATCTTCACAACATGTGAGAAACATTTTGCTGCAGAGTAGAACACAGAGTACTTGCAATACTTGCCTTCAGAAGTAGAACTATTTTAAAGCATGGTGCATCAACATCAACTGCCACTCTCCTTCATGTGCTCCTGGATTACATCAGGCATCTGAAAGGACAAAGTCTATCAGTTTCCTCCCTCAGAGTATATCTTTCCGCACTGGAAGCTTTCCACTCTCCTATTGTTGTCTTTACAATATTTTTGCATCCTAATTCTAAGAGGTTTCTTAGAGGGCTGCATAACCATAACCCTCTGCGTAGACCGTTAGCTCCCACACTGGATCTGGAACTGGTGCTCAACACCCTAACTAGACCACCGCTTGAGCCCTTGGCCACATGCTCACTCTTCCTATTAACAATAAAGATAGTGTTTTTAATAGCAATCACACTGACAAGGCGAGTTAATGAAATTGCTGCTCTCCTGGCATCACCACCTCACACCGTGTTTCATAAGGAGAGAGTGGTTCTTCAACCCCATCCTTCCTTTCTATCTAAAATCTGCTTAGAATTCCACATTGAGCCCGTTGTCCTTCCTACCTTCTACCTCTGAGGCCTCATGTTTCTCATAAGGAGGCAGTGTTACATACCCTGGACATCCAGAGGGCATTATCATTCTATATAGACCGTACATGGCCTTTCCACAAATCACAGACATTATTTCTCTCCCTTGTGGAATGCTTTCAGGAAACATATTTGCAACATATTTCTAAAGTAATAACATCATGAATCACCCAATGTTACTCGCTGTAAAGTCCTGTGCCCCCCAGGGCTCACTCCACACAGGCTGTGGCTACCTCAACTGCTTTCCTAACGGGAGTCCCTCTTAAGGACATCCATGCTGCAGCTATGTGGTCATCCAACCACACCTTCATGAGACATTATGCAATCGCCTCACAAATGAAGACAAGTTCCACTGTAGCTGAGGCAGTCCTTTCATCTGTGCATAACACATAATCTGAAGCCCACCTATCACACTGTGGGTACTGCTATGCAGTCACCACCAGTGGAGCACCCATGGGGATATCATTGAAGAAGAAAAGGAAGTTACTTACCTTGTGCAGCAATGACGGTTCTTCCAGATGTGTGTCCCTGTGAATGCTCCATGACCCACCCTTCCCCCTTCAGATCCAATCCACGTAATAGGTTGTACCCAAAGAAACGCCCACCTATCACACTGTGGGTACTGCTATGCAGTCACCACCAGTGGAGCACCCATGGGGATATCATTGAAGAAGAAAAGGAAGTTACTTACCTTGTGCAGCAATGACGGTTCTTCCAGATGTGTGTCCCTGTGAATGCTCCATGACCCACCCTTCCCCCTTCAGATCCAATCCACGTAATAGGTTGTACCCAAAGAAACCGAGG